TGCTGGCCAGCGTGATTTGTTTGAGCAAAAGCATCTATTCAAAGTATTCTTCTCAGGCTTGTTTTGCACTAGTCACTAGTTGGAGAAGGAACAGAGCGGTAGAAAGAAGACAGAACGGGACATTCATTTGGGATGATTTTGGCATGATCTGGGCTGTTGGACAGGCATTGACTGAAAGGATTTTGGCCTTGGAACTTGGCACCAGGTTTGGTTGTGGGACCTTGACCGTAACAACAAGTGGTTTGGTCAGCAGCTTTGACCAACAATCGGCACTGGAAGCCTGTGAAGACCACCGAACAGACATTGAAAGGTCTTGCTGACTTCCCTTTGCCTCAGCGACCTGGGTAAGCTGAACATCATCAATGGTGCAATGTCTACAGGTGCAACTGTGTGACATTGTGCAATATGTCTTGTGAGAATTGTGCCATCCCTAGTATTTGCATAACTCTTGCCATAATATGTAGCTGCACGGTCTCCCTGTCAGTAGACCTTGGTGCAAAAGAACGCGTAATTGCCCATGATAGACGAGGTAGCCTACTGTTGTTGGCAAGGTTGTTGTTGTCTGTTGCTGTTGCTGTTGCTGTTGCTGTTGCTGTGGTGGTGGTGGTGGTGGTCGTCGTCGTCGTCATTGTCGTCGTCGTCGTCGTCCTTGTGCTTGTGCTTGTGCTTGTGCTTGTGCTTGTGGTTGTGGTTGTGGTGGTGGTGGTGGTGGTGGTGGTGGTTGCTGTTGGTGTTGTTGTTGCTGTTGCTGTTGCTGTTGTTGCCGCTGCCGCCGCCGCCACCGCCGGAGGGGGGTGGTGGTGGTGGGTGGGTGGGGTTGGGGGTGGGGGTGGGGGTGGGGGTGGGGGTGGGCGGTTTCAAGGGCACCGGCTTCAAGGTGCAGACGGCCATCCGCATTCTGTGGGATTTGGACCTTGCCCGGGCAGGGTGTCGCGCAGCGAACGCAGGCAGAAACAGTTCTTAGAGCAAAGAACATCAGACCTCTTGAAACTCTACCACACGGTGGGTCAGCAATGTTTTGACGGTACTTAGCCGCAGCACCCCCCAAAGCACCCACAGAATGTTTAGAAACAACATGAAGCAACAAATCGCCTAGTTTGGACCCAGGAGATCGGGTGCATTACTAGAATGTCGTGTGGTGTTTTTGTGGGGCCACCTCTGGGGTTTCTGCAGCCGGATTTGTTAAGGAGAAGCGACGGTGGTTTGACATTGGGTATGCCCCATTACCCGTACTGGTCGATGAACGGTCAAGTTGTTAACCGCCATAATTGCCATAATTATTGTTTTAAAAAATTACACACCATCACCAGCCACTGTTAATGGGGATGCCCGGTTTTGACAAGCGTTTTCAAAGACTGTTTGAACCCCGGTCTGTGCATTCGGACCCAATCTGTTAAGCTGTGGGTATGAAAGCGTGCATTTCAACATGATGCGCCGATAATGATAATCGGATAATGTCCTGGATTGAAATTGCGGCGGAGTGGAAACACATCAAGTAAATGCAGTCTTTGAGCACCGATGGTAGGACCGCCTTTTTGCTGCGTGTGGTATTTGATTCACACCTACAGGAGTATTTTGGCTTTGTTTGTATCGATTGACTGACAAATCTGGCGGGCCGGGCCAGATTTCGGCTTTCGGCTTTGGACTGATGAAACACAGCAGTCACGTGGTGGGGTTCAGGAGGCCAATAATTTAGTTTATATACTCCAAGGCTCTTCTGCACGCTCTTGTGGTAGTATGCACTTGCAAAGTATCCGTTTACTTCAAGTTTGGAAGGCCAGTCCCACCCGAACGGCTTAACAATGGCAAAATAACATGCACACAATGAAGCCAAAACAAGGTCCAATGTGAAATGAAATCAACAAGATTTGCCGTGCGGACATGCCAATAAACACATGTATAAACTGTAAACATTTCTTTCAAACAGATGTTGAGGCCCTGCCAAGATACATTGAGATGTGTCTCAGTTTTGTCAATTCCGTTTTGTAGAGATGTTTTTTGTCTTTTAGTGTGCTTGGGCACTCTAAGACGCATCTCATTGATATTCATTGGACTTTTGGCATTTGTTTGCTGTGCCTTATACCAGGAACGCTTGTAGTTCCAAAGCGGCCAGCTTGACCCCAGGCGTTTTCGTGGCAGTAGTGCCGTTCCTGGTTGGGCGTGGAACCTGGCTGCGTGGGGTCTGTTTCTGCGAAGGTGCCAGTGGAGACACGCATCAGTGAATGATTCGACAGCGGTTTCTGCAAGTGTTTGATCACAGGCTTTGGCGAGATATGAAGGTGTCATCATTTTCAGTGGCCAGACGCAACGTAATGTAATGTTTTGTGCCTGATCTGGGAACTTAACCTCCCAGTTGTGTGACACTCATGCGTGGGAACATACCTGTACACCCCACACAGCAAAAGTTTTAGTCGAAACAAACAAAACAGAGTCATTCGTGGGTAGTCTCCCTGATTTCCATTCTTTTGCAGACCTGCCAAGGTCACATCTTCTGGATCGGGTTCGAGAGTCGTTCTTCCTACGGATTGCAGGGTGTCCTGATTGTGCCTTTTGTTGTCAGGTGAAGTTTTCTAGATTGTATTCCGCATTCCTGTCCCCAAAAAGATTTAATCCAAGCCCATTGGACATTGGATGTTTGCACATGTCAGCACTGAGATTGCAAGAAACCCTGTGGCTTCCACCAGGCCTTGATTTCACTTCTGATCTTCGGGTTGCTGGGCAGTGCTTTGGCAATCTTCTTGGCTGGGAGCTCAGTTGAGTCCTTTGGGGCATTCTGGGGCAGTGGAGTTTGTGTGTTCCCAAGCTTACAGCACTGCTTACAGCATGAACATCGAGAAGATGACAGTTAGCAGCTACTCGTCAGTGTTGTCAGACGCTACAGAAGCCCGACAGATCGTTACGAGTCATGATAGATCCATGCATGGACCATTTGATTTTGATAATTTTAGGAAAAGAGCTGCACAATACAAACCAACTCAAACACGTGCCTGCACAGAGGGGTTGAACAACATGGTTCCGTAGTTTCCATGTACAAACTGAACCACTCATTCCATCAAAATTAGAAAAACTGTCTACAGGCCACGGGACAGCTACTCACGAAGTCTTCTAGTTTCAGTTCTACACTGAGTGGTTTTGGCTTTGACTCCAGCTCGTATCCGGAGAGTTGATGGTCTCCCCTTCACAAACTTCACAAATCCGCCGTTCCGGGTGCAGTTCAATTCTCAATCTGGTATTTCATGCAAGGTGCCGTTCTCACGATTCTCACGTATCTTCCATTCTAGTTGTTTCATGTCCCAAAGCATCCGAAAGCGTTTCTCCATTCTTGGAGGGCCAAGGCCAAGGACTTCCCTTTCATGCTACGTTTGCAGACATGATTGGAGCCGCAGAGAAGCTTTTCAACCCCACCCTGAATGCAGCGCTTTGGTTGGCCTTAATTGAATTAGAGTACCCATACCTGGACAGCCGGCAAAAGGATGACAATTACGACGAGAAATTGATCACCGTGAGAGCCCTAGAGCTGCAGTGTAGGTCGTACGTGTACTGAGAATCTTGGTGTCAGTTGGTTCTCTCGAGTGGGCAGTGAAAGCGTACTCCTTCAAACTAGTCGCAAGAGGAGGTGCTAATTTTATCGATTTTTCGACTGTGCATGACACGAGGAAGCAAAGAAGTAGGTGCTACCTTTACTTGGATTAGAGATGGAATTGGGGAGACTGAGCATACAGCAAGGCCTGTGTCTGGAAGACATCTTCCTGACCTAGCCTGAGAGGAATGGCATAGGAGCAAATAGGTGGGGCAGCTCAGGCCAGCGAAGATTCGCATGGTCTTCGGCTGCCTTCATGTGTGACAATAGTGCCTGCTCTTCTGTTCATTTTCTGTGCATGGTTGGTTGGTGTGGTCTGCTTACTTATTGTCTGAGGATCAGCTGCTGGCTCCTGTTGCCTGGACACCATTTAGTAGCAATGCATGACCATGCTAGGTTGTTCGTTTGTAGAGCATCATAGTCATTGATGTCTCGTGTGTGTGTGAAAACCAAGCAGCCATGGCAGCAAACAGTTGTCAGGTGGCTCGGAAACTATGGTTGGATTGAGCTTGACCAAGGGTCGGTCGCTTGGTTGGTTGGTTCGCTGGTTTCACCCTCCACCGCACATTGTAGCAATGAAGGGAAAAGACGCCTGGCCGCCTTCGACTTGGAGTGAGATCGGGTGAGTGAAGCTAGTGATGGGTCCATACCAATAAGTTCCGACGCCTAAAATCCCACCAATATCAAAATTCCTAAAGTAAATCTAAACACTATATATTCGTAAATAAATATATATATATAATCATATATTAAACAACAATAATCTATAATCCCATCAATAATTATATATATAATCTAATATATATATATTCCTTAAAATAATATATACTCCTTTTCACGGTGGGCTCGCAGTCGTGTATTGCTCTGGTGCAATACCGGCCTATGAACCTAAGCGCGTTTTGATACGTGCTTTTTCTCTGAACAGTTTTTCTTGGCGTTCCGTCCATAATGTCCAGGTTGAGAGGTGCTTCACAAGTGCTCAGTGGATTTGGAGAAGCTCTGCTGCCCCTGAAAGCATTCAGATGGTGGCAGAGCATTTCTGATACAAAGACCCATACTTTCTTGGACTCATTGGGAGTGTTTAAACCCTCACTTGTTGCTATACAGGTCATACGAACTCAAAAGTTGATGCAAGTGGCCAACGCCCACACCTTTGCACCTGGCTCATATTTCCGCCGACATGGGGCCTTTCTTTTCTGCTATCACGATTTGGCCCGTAGACCGTGGGTCTCGTCGAGGTTTTGATTCAGGTGTTCTAATTTGAGCTTTGTTCGTGAGGATGCCCTCCCTTAGACAAGTGAAACCTAGTAGAACCTGGGCGTGTGGAAAGCGTTCTTCTCTACAAAGGGATTCTGCTCAGCTTCCAGGATTCTCTGAGGAAGTGTCTCTCCATAGCCAGCATGCTTTTCGCGCATGTTTCTGGCTTAGTGGAGGGAAGTGAAGCCCATCCCTCTGGCGGAACCACTCACGCAGGGACCTCAGCCTGGTGCCGACCAGGAGCATAGCAGAGTCGGTCTTCATCACAACTTTTCCAGACCCTTCTGACCCTTCCGATCCTTCCGACACTTTGGGTCAAGTCGGACGGGCGTTCTCCTTCTGTCACTGCTAGGATTCTTATAGAACTGTTTCTTTTTTTGGGGGGGCTTTTGGAGGCATTGGTAGTGCCCCTTTCAGTCCTTTCCATCCTAGTCAGTAGACCCCTCACTTCTATACGACATTTCCGCTACATCCCAACTAAGCTCATGTTGCAATACAAGATCTATACAATATTATATAATATTTCCTGTGCAAGAGCTGCGAAGACTCAACGTAGACCCTTGCTGCATAGTCTGTGCAACAACAACGGTTGGTCACGAATCACTATGTTTCATGGGAATCTCTCCTTTGAGGCGATATCTTAACTTGGATGAGGATCCGCCTGGACGTCGCCGTTGCGTTGATGGTTTGGACAGGACATGTTGGAAATTGTTGGAACGCCACAAGAATGATTGAGATACTTGGGGCACAGCACATGACCAGAAGATACCAGAAGTATATACTGTAGGTTCTGCCAAAATTGATTTCTAAAGCTTGTTTGAGCAACCGACAAGATTCCTGCAGGACTACAGAAGAAGGGGCGTTGCCCTAATTGTCCATATGCAAACGATACGGCCAACCCTACTACCGATGCCATATACATGGAATAAAATGCAAAGCACACATCCAAAACAAATAAAACACTGAACATGGACGGGGGCCAACCCTGTTTATTTTGGCAGTGGGCTAAGGTTCATTTGGAGGTGAGGCATTAAATGCTAGAACGATTTGAGTTCACCCTTTGCAGCCCTTAGCTATGACAAGTGCAATCCTATTTGTGCCCTGTGCTTTTTTTTTTGTGTCGTTCAGTCCTCGACTTGCATGGCTTTGCATAGAGCCACATCGCGATGCTGACTATTGTACATTTCCTGTGCAGGTTTGGATTTGAGATCATCTTATTATTAAATGATATTAAATGTCGGCTGTGTTTGAAGTACCCAGATTGTCCTTAGTCCTTGGGTGCCTTTGAGACATGTACTGTATATATGTAAATGTAATGTAAATGTCTAATATACGACGAGTGTATATTCTCTAGCACGCCATTGGTGAGCTCTTGATACCTTTGAAGACAACACTGCCAGGATCTCGACTAACGAATTCTTCCACCTGACAGTTGTAAGGGGGCCAAGACTCCAAACCTCAGCAGGTTTGTAGTACAAGTAAGTACCCCTCAGTGACCAGTCAGTGACTCCATACAGCAAATCCAGCAATGAGAATCCAACACATTGACATACATTGACATATATATATATATACATTGACATGGGCCAACATGGAAGCACACGAAAGTTCGCTGTTGAATCATGCCTCAAAGAGTGCTTGTGACAAAATAAAGCATCAAGAATATTCTAGAGTCACCTCCCTCGTTGACACCAAAAGGTAGGAACCTAGATGATTTGCATTCGTCACCAATAACATCATTCGCTTGCTTGATGCGTTGATATCCGACTCAGTTTTCTCTAAAACTTTGTCAGATGCAGCAGTTATGATGTTTGGCAATTTGCGTTGCTGTTGTTGTGGTTGTGGTGGTGGTGCGGGTTGGGGTTGTCGTTGTTTGTTTGTTTGTTTGTTTGTTTGTTTGTTTTTGGTTTGGTTTGGTTTGGTTTGGTTTGGTTTGGTTTGGTTTGGTGTTGTTGTGGTTGTGGTTGGTTGGTTTGGTTGTGGTTGGTTGGTTGGTTGGTTTGGTTGTGGTTGGTTGTGGTTTGTTGTCGTTGGCTGTGGTTGGCTGTGGTTGGTTGTGATTGGTTGTGGTTGGTTGGTTTGGTTGTGGTTTGTTGTGGTTTGTTGTGGTTGGCTGTGGTTGGCTGTGGTTGGTTGTGATTGGTTGTGGTTGGTTGGTTTGCTGGTTGGTTGCTGGCCTGTTGGGGATTGGTGGATTTGGAAGGTCGGGAGTCAGCTTATTGAGTCCATTGCTCAGGTGCTGGTGGCTGCAGCGCAAAGCTGCTCACAAGAACAGAGACTCGTTGTGCGAACGATCTTACACGTGTAGGCCTTACGCGCTTATATAACCTTCGGAAATCCTATTGAGCTTCTGGCTTATGTGAAAGGGATTGAAAGGGTATATTCTGTACTCGCTTTCTTTACGCTTTCGTGTCCATTGCATGGTTGTGTCATGGTGTTCTTAGATTTGTTGAAGGAGAATTCAAGTCGGCCATTGATTGAGGGCAACGATACATTGCCTCCTGAAATACTAAATTTCACGGTCCGGGACACAAACGGGACACAAACTAGAGCCGGGAAACTTCTATCTCGATCAGTCGCCAGAGATGTTTCTTGAGGGGATTTGACATCAAAAGAAACCCTGCCGTACCTGCCAGCCCACACTAGTCCAGACTGGTCAGAGAAGTTCTTTGGCTCCGGAGGAAACCAGTTGTGCTCCTTCAGACTGCTACAGCCAATGGTCGAGCAGTAGGCTCTCCTGGGTCGCTGCTGGAAATGTGTTAAATGCTGGGTTACAGAAATAGAGCCGAGGTGAGGAGGCCAGGTGGAACACCGTGGAAGACCGCGGAACACCGATCGCTACTGCCCCTGCTGATGAACATGTTGGTCTTCGGGTTTTGAGCCTTTATCTGGTAAATAGTAGCTTCTTGTTGTTAGTCTAGCAGTATTAGGTTGGCCTCCAACCTAATAGAGATGGCCTCCACCTAGTAGCTTCTTGTTTGGCTTTATTTGACCATGGAATGACACCTGAAAAGTGTCCAAAGTGATTCCATACGTCCTTGGCTCGCATGTTTTCACCAATGTCTCATCTCTGCTTGGATGCCATGCCAGGTATGCACTCAGTGTGGCCCTGAGACACTGAAATGAATGATAGGATAAGAAGTACTGATACCAGTTCTTCAGTTGTGCTTGAGAGTCAGACACATTGTCCTTTTGCTTTACATCGCATTGAACACCTTCAACAACGCTAAGAGAGTTTCAGTGTCTAGTATTGCTCTTTGGAATTTTAGATTTTTTTTTTGCTTTTTCAATTGGGGTTGAAGTTTGTCTGTTTGAAGGTTTTGCTACCACCTCAAAAGTTATTTAGACTTCTCGATTTGTAGGGTCGCGTCTGACTGTGTAAATCATGACTAGGTTCAGCTCTAGCTAGGACAGTCCCTTCTTAGCAGTTAAACTTGTAGTCATGTCAACCTTAACTTTTCACCTTCATTGACGCTCCTAGAATATTGTCTCGATTTTTCAATACTGTTTTCTCGAGGAAGGGAAGAAAAGATATTTGGGCCTTGGAAAATTTTATTTCCAAATCTTGACGCCGCCATGTGGCTCTAAATGGGTTTGCCTTCCCAAGTGGGGGTTGCTGAGTACTTTGGCTGCTTCGGTGAGGTGCTTTTCTGCAGAGGTCATTGGCTGCTTCGGCCAAATCCTTTGCCATGAGCAATGTGGAGGCGAAGGCCACATTGAAATTGGCGCGGTTGGGCAGGAGTTTCTGCTGAACCCTGAAGATTCTCAAGCTGGCTGCTGCAAGTGGCCCAAAGCTGGCCCTTTCTATGGCAATGGCTCCCCCTGGTCCTGATCCAGAAATGTTGAAGTCCTTTTGTCGCTTTACTGCAGATACCCGCCGTTTGCTGATCCTCCACTTTGGGGAGGACGATGCCCTGGACGAAGCTGAGTGCTTGAGGAACGCGCTACTGTGGGCATGGCAGCATTTACCTGATTCAGCAACAGCCCTGCTAGACGGAAGTTTGGTTCATGTGCTGGATGTTTGCACCACAATCAAATATACTTGTCCGCATCAATACCCTACGCTTCGCGTCGTCACAGGCCTGCCTCCGCGTGGGCCGAGCTATTTGAGAGACCCGTTGACTCAATTCACTAAGAATGATTTCAAGGCAGCTTTGGCGTGTGTCCGAGTGCTTGAAGACATGCCAGGTTCTTTTTTGACACTGTCTTGGAGTGGAGTGAGCAAATGGTTCCCTAACTTTGCTTTTGAAGTCCTTGCCGAGGACGCGCAGTAAGCCAAGGCTGACTGGGAGCTTCGGCCAGCTGCCAAGGACAGACCAGGAGCCTGTCATTGGCTGCTTCGGCTGAGACAGGAAGTTTGGGAAAGGGAAAAAATGGCGCGCCAGGCTTGTAAGGAGAGGTCTTTTAGCCTGCTCCAACCGAGCCTCGGGAACGTTCTTGAACCTCCTAAGGAGCAGGAAAAAAGCAGACTGCTAGAAAAAATTCCATTCATGTTTTCTAATTCTAGGACAGTCTGCTTTTATCCTGCTCCAACCGAGCCTCGGGAACGTTCTTGAAGCTTGTAAGGAGTAGTCTGTTAGTCACCTCTGTAGGAGGCTCAGATACACGATTCTCGTCCGACGCAGCTTTTTGCTCAAGGAAAGATAAAATAAGTGGGCCTCTGGCTGATTCGGCCAGGGCCCACAGAATGTCGTCCTCTAAGTGCAAGAAGGACAATTTTTCAGGCTGGGGGCATATTGCGGTTGGTGAGCAAGTGACTGCTGCAGCCAAAGCCGAACCCAAATCCAAGGCCAAGGGTCAACCAAATAAGCCAAAGCCGAAACCGAAGCCAGAAAAGCCACCTAAGAAGCCTGAGCCTAGGGCCAAGCCGAAGCCTGCAGTAGGCGGCGATGATGAGCCACCCACAAAAAACAAACAAAAAAGACAGAAGCAACCGAAGCCTCAGCTGGGGAGGTCTATGATGGAAGAGGGTGAGGAAAACGACGAGGTTTGGAACCCGCTGGCGTGATCTTTGGCTGCGTCGGCCAAGATACATGCACTCTGGCATGGGCGCAAAGCTTTTTGTTGCATCTCTGGCTGCATCGGCCAGGATGCATGCTGAGCTCGCGCAGAATGAAAAAAGAGCGCGATCAAGACTTCTTCAATTTTGGGTGTCTGGCTTTCTTTACATTGGTGCATTGAATGCTTTAAATGTTTCAGGCTTCCGCAAAAAGACCCTTTAAAAACATTACAGTTTTAACTTCTAAGTTTTCTAACTAACGGGAAGCTTGGGAGTCTGGCTTGCACTGCGCACCATATTTTCTCTTGAATTGAATTGAAGATTGCTCCAGCCAGCGGTTCCAAACCAAGCATGGGAACCTCCAACCAGGCTGATTATTGCAGCCTTCCTGTTCTACGCAAACTTTGGAAAACGTGTTCTCGAGTGGGGGTTGCCTGTTTGTCGAGCGGGTGCTGCAAAATTATTCTTTGGACACAGGAAATTAAATTTCCCCTGTTGCCCTTCAATTGTCACATTCTCACAAAGTCCCGTCAAATGCCTTGAAGTTGGCTGGCGTTGTATGCCTCGCTTTGCACAATGACTTTGCCACAGCTGTTTTCTTAGACCCTTGAGTAGGAAGCTTATAAGTTATTTTGAATTCTCGATTTTGCACCTAGAATGGTATCACTCAAGGAAGATGGCGCCAACCCTTCCACAGAGCAAAAAAAATTCCAAAATTCCAAAGAGCAATACTGATGCAAAGCAGTAGTCCACGGCAGCCATTTGATCATATAATGGTTGAAAATTGTGGAACTGCGCAGAAACCGGAGGTATTGTGCGAAACCGAAACCAACTGTGACGTTTGGTGGCTGGGGGATCACAGCTGAGGGCTTTGCTGCCAATGTGTTCCGTCTTGTTCAAACCCGTGTGTCCCGATATGTCCCGATGTTTGACCCGCCAAAAACAACTATCTGGAGTTTAAAACGCATCCGGAATCGAGATTTTATACTGTATCAGTGGAACTTCTCCCCTGCGGAGTTCCCAACAGACCGCGATTCGGAGACAAAGTCTGAATCTGTCAAGTGTTGAATCGTGTCAATGAGACTCGAGCTTGACAAAGTGAGCAAGCAACATGTAGATAGCCCACTCGCAATTCATCGTTTTTGAGGCAGGACTGAAGAGGATTAAAAACACCCTTGCCTGTTCACATTTGGCCAACCCACTGTAGCTGTGAAGAGGATCTAAAGGTATAGCAAGATATAGCAGGTAGTATAGCAGGTATTTGCTGGTAGTGTTCCCAAAGACGCCAATAGATGAATCAAATCCTTGGTTTTTGGGTGGGCATTGAATCAAGTACGTATTTTGTATATATTTCTAATGGTTGTTTATTAGCCGGATTCAACGGTCCTGCAAAAGCATCTCACCAACGTTCATGACCATGAACCCATGGCGTACGACTCAATATGGCCCCATGGCCACATTTGCAAAAGCATATTCGCAAGCCCAAGGAACATTGAAGCAAAAGCAAACACATGTATTATTGAAAGATGTCAAACCGATCATGAACAACGACGAAGGTCTTCCTGCGCAAACACCCAAAGCTAGCTATTCACGTAGGTGGCACGAGTTGTGCGATGTATATGCCCATCTCAAAAGCGCTTCCTTTAAAGCATAGATCCCATGCTATCTCAATCCTGTTCACTTGCCTTTTGTAGACGAATCCTTGTAGCCACACCTGGTTCTGTTACATCCTCTTACTGAACCCAGTAGTAGACTGCACAAGGAGGTCCTCAACAGGGTAAGCTGGCAACAAACGCAAAGAAGGGGTTGCTGCTCTTTTGATCCATTGAGAGTTGGTGAATTCATGCCTTAAGGGTCTAGTCAAATCCAACCGACACCCTGCACTCCCTGAGGTCGGCTCTATGCTAAGGCCGCATGCAGCAGCTTCGCTGGGTTCTCAAGTGGGGTCGTAGGTCCCTAGTGGCTGTTGCTTATCTCAAAGAGCTGAGGGCACTTCCCAAGATGCTTTCATTCGTCAGAGAGGCTTTTCTATTGTGTATCGCATGGTCAAAGAACCAGATATGAGATATTATGAGATGGGTATGTTTTGGGCATTGATCACAATAAAGCTTTGACATCAGGATACTAGATGATACAAGTTGTCCTCATAACTTCAACAGAAACAATCCTTGAAGGTTAAGCTCGAGGACAAGCCTTTACAAATGCGATCAAATCCGGGCTCAAGAGATCAGTGCACTCTGCAGACCGACCAGGTCAGTTCTGGCCTTCGCTGAGCGACTCTTCGGTCAGGACTGGAGATGGTGGAGTTGCGCAGCGGAGAGACATCCGGTCATGTCACTCCGACATCAACAAGCACAATATCAATGTTGGCTTTCAAACATCAATCAACAATCTGCAGCTGCGCAATATCAATGTGTTTTTTCAAGATTCAAAGTGTTTTAGTGTTTTGTTGGTTGTGAGCAAGTGCTGTGCTGAAGCTTTGTTTTGTGCGAACGTGGCCTGGAGTTGGCATGAAACGACGTGAAGCACCTGCAAGCTTCGCCTTTTTGTGGCCAGCGTACTTGTCCTATCTCTGGCCTTTGAGCCTTCCATGGTGGTGAAGATTTTGATGGGAAGCACATTCTTGCAATTCAGGGAAGGAAGAAAAGGAAGAAAAGAAAAAGACAGTGAGGGAGGCAAGGAAGCGGTCACGAAGCATATCCTCAACATTCCTCAACGTGCTTTTGCCTATTTCTTCGCAATGGTAATTGCATTTTTGCAACTTGCATCTGCAAAGATCTAATAGTAGCTCCTGGCATCGCTACTAGGAACACGAAGATACTAGGGGCTCCTGGCATCGCTACTAGGAACAAGGACGCTACTAGGCGCTCCTGGCATGGCTGATAGGAGCAAGGACGCTACTAGGGGCTCCTGGCCTGACTACTAGGAGCAAGAACGCTACTAGGGGCTCCTGGCATCGCTACTAGGAGCAAGGACACTACTAGGGGCTCCGGCGTCGCTGCTAGGAGCAAGGACGCTACTAGGGGCTCCTGGCATCGCTACTAGGGGCAAGGGCACTACTAGGGGCTCGTGGCATCGCTACTAGGAGCAAGGACGCTGCTAGGGGCTGCTGGCATCGCTACTACTAGGAGCAAGGACGCTGCGAGGGGCTCCTGGCGTCGCTACTAGGAGCAAGAACGCTTCTAGGGGCTCCGGGCATCGCTCCTGGAGCAAGGACGCTACTGAGGGCTCCTGACATCGCTACTATAGGGGCAAGGACGCTAGGGGCTCCTGGCCTTACTACTAGGAGCAAGAACGCTACTAGGGGCTCCTGGCATCGCTACTAGGAGCAAGAACGCTACTAGCTGCTCCTGGCATCGCTACTAGGGGCAAGCGCGCTACTAGGGGCTCCTGGCCGTACTACTAGGAGCAAGAAGGCTACTAGGGGCTCCTGGCATCGCTACTAGGGGCAAGGACTCTACTGGGGGCTCCTGGCCTTACTACTAGGAGCAAGAAGGCTACTAGGGGCTCCTGGCATCGCTACTAGGGGCAAGGATGCTACTAGGGGCTCCTGGCCTTACTACTAGGAGCAAGAACGCTACTAGGCTCTCCTGGCATCGCTACTGGGGGCAAGGACGCAATTAGGGGCTCCTGGCCATACTACTAGGAGCAAGAATGCTACTGAGGTGCTCCTGGCATCGCTACTAAGGGCAAGGACGCTACTAGGTGCTCCTGGCCTTACTACTAGGAGCAAGAACGCTACTAGGGGCTCCTGGCATCGCTACTAGGGGCAAGCATGCAATTAGGGGCTCCTGACCATACTACTAGGAGCAAGAATGCTACTGAGGGGCTCCTGGCATCGCTACTAGGGGCAAGGACGCTACTAGGGGCCTACTAGGGGCAAGGACGCAATTAGGGGCTCCTGGCCATACTACTAGGAGCAAGAATGCTACTGAGGGGCTCCTGGCATCGCTGCTAGGGGCAAGAACGCTACTAGGGCTTACTGCTGGGGCTCCTGGCATCGCTACTAGGGGCAAGGACGCTACTAGGGGCTCTTGGCCTAGGAGCCAGAACGCCCCTATTGGCTCCTGGCATCGCTACTAGGGGCAAGGACGCTACTAGGATCTACTAGGGGCTCCTGGCCTTACTACTAGGAGCTAAGAATGCTACTAGGGGCTCCTGGCATCGCTACTGGGGGCGGACTCTACTGGGGGCTCCTGGCCTTACTACTAGGAGCTAGAAGGCTACTAGGGGCTCCTGGCATCGCTACTAGGGGCAAGGACGCCACTAGGGGATCCTGGCCTTACTACTGGGGCTCCTGGCATCGCTACTAGGGGCAAGGACGCTGCTAGGGGCTCCTGGCGTTACTACTGGGAGGAAGAAGGTTACTAGGGGCTCCTGGCATCGCTACTAGGGGCAAGGATGCTAGTAGGGGCTCCTGGCCTTACTACATGCTACTGAGGGGCTCCTGGCATCGCTACTAGGGGCAAGGATGCTACTCGGGATCCTGGCCTTACTACTGGGGCTCCTGGCAGGGGCAAGGACGCTACTAGGGGCTCCTGGCCTTACTACTAGGAGCAAGAAGGCTATTAGGGGCTCCTGCATCGGCAGTAGGGGCAAGGATGCTACTAGGGGCTCCTGGCCTTACTACTAGGAGCAAGAATGCTACTGAGGGGCTCCTGGCATCGTTAGTAGGGGCAAGGACGCTACTAGGGGCTCCTAGCCTTACTACTAGGAGCAAGAAGGCTACTAGGGGCTCCTGGCATCGCTACTAGGGGCAAGGATGCTAGTAGGGGCTCCTGGCCTAAAAGCAAGAATGCTACTGAGGGGCTCCTGGCATCGCTACTAGGGGCAAGGACGCTACTAGGGAATCCTGGCCTTACTACTGGGGCTCCTGGCATCGCTACTAGGGGCAAGGACGCTACTAGGGGCCTGGCACTAGGAGCAAGAAGGCTACTAGGGGCTCCTGCCATCGCTACTAGGGGCAAGGA